TGTGTAATGGAGATGAGGAGGGGGGAGGGTGTCAGTTGTCCAAATCAGGAGATCAGCCTAGGGTGACAACGCAGCTCCTCTATAGACACATTACAGTGTTGTCACTCTAGGACAGGAAGTGCATTACTGGCAGGATCACCAGGTGATAATATAGGGGAGGAAAGCTAGGAAAAGGGATAATGCAGCTGCCATATCTAAGGACTGGTAATTGCAATATAAGAAAAATAATGATTATTATTATATTATGTGGAGGAGAAGCTATTATATAATTGCTCTTATCAGTAAAAAACACAAAAAATAAATGCAAATATAAAATCATTTATTTAATTATAGTGGCACAAATGACAAAGAAACGACTCTCCCGGGGGTCAGCCTGCTGAACAGAGGCAGAGCGTGAAATATGTGATCACTTAATGTTACTGCATCCAAATCTGATCTGTGAAAGAACAATGGCCATAGTAAAAGTAGTTTGTTAGGGAGCTGGGGGGTAAAAAGAGGGGGAGAAATGGAGGAAGTATATGAAAAGAAAGAGAGAGAGAGAGAATATGAAAGTGGGGAGGGGGGTGTAGGAAGAAAACGGTATATAAAGAGAAAGAGAGGGAGAGGAAGAGAAGGTATATGAAATAAGAGGGAGAGAGCGGGAGAACGAGAAGGTATTTGGAAGCAATGGAGGAAATGGGAGAGAGTGTGGAAGAGAAGGTACATGTAAGGAATAAGAGAGGAGGAGCAGGAGAATCTATAGGTATATGGAGGTAATGGGAGAGAAGGAACATGAAAGGCATGAGAGAGAGAGAAAGGAAGAGATAGTACATAGAGGGAATGGAAAAGAGAGAGGAAGAGAAGGTATATGGAGGTAATGGGAGAGTGTCAAAGGAAGAGAAGTAACATGAAAGGAATTAGGGAGAGAGATAAGTGTAACGAAGAGGAGAAGATATATAAACAAACAGAGAGAGGAAGAGAATAAACAGAGAAAGAGAGAGGAAGAGAAGTATATAAAGAGAGATAGGAAGAGAAGTATATAAAGAGAAAGAGAGAAAGGAAGAGAAGTATATAAAGAGAAAGAGAGAGAGGAAGAGAAGTATATAAACAGAAAGAGAGAGAGGAAGAGAAGTATATAAAGAGAAAGAGAGAGGAAGAGAAGATATATAAACAGAACGAGAGAGAGAAAGAGAAGTATAGAAAGAGAAAGAGAGAGAGAAAGAGAAGTATAGAAAGAGAAAGAGAGAAAGGAAGAGAAGTATATAAACAGAAAGAGAGAAAGGAAGAGAAGTATATAAAGAGAAAGAGAGAGGAAGAGAAGTATATAAAGAGAAAGAGAGAGGAAGAGAAGTATATAAAGAGAAAGAGAGAGGAAGAGAAGTATATAAAGAGAAAGAGAGAGGAAGAGAAGTATATAAAGAGAAAGAGAGAGGAAGAGAAGTATATAAAGAGAAAGAGAGAGGAAGAGAAGTATATAAAGAGAAAGAGAGAGGAAGAGAAGTATATAAAGAGAAAGAGAGAGGAAGAGAAGTATATAAAGAGAAAGAGAGAGGAAGAGAAGTATATAAAGAGAAAGAGAGAGGAAGAGAAGTATATAAAGAGAAAGAGAGAGGAAGAGAAGTATATAAAGAGAAAGAGAGAGGAAGAGAAGTATATAAAGAGAAAGAGAGAGGAAGAGAAGTATATAAAGAGAAAGAGAGAGGAAGAGAAGTATATAAAGAGAAAGAGAGAGGAAGAGAAGTATATAAAGAGAAAGAGAGAGGAAGAGAAGTATATAAAGAGAAAGAGAGAGGAAGAGAAGTATATAAAGAGAAAGAGAGAGGAAGAGAAGTATATAAAGAGAAAGAGAGAGGAAGAGAAGTATATAAAGAGAAAGAGAGAGGAAGAGAAGTATATAAAGAGAAAGAGAGAGGAAGAGAAGTATATAAAGAGAAAGAGAGAGGAAGAGAAGTATATAAAGAGAAAGAGAGAGGAAGAGAAGTATATAAAGAGAAAGAGAGAGGAAGAGAAGTATATAAAGAGAAAGAGAGAGGAAGAGAAGTATATAAAGAGAAAGAGAGAGGAAGAGAAGTATATAAAGAGAAAGAGAGAGGAAGAGAAGTATATAAAGAGAAAGAGAGAGGAAGAGAAGTATATAAAGAGAAAGAGAGAGGAAGAGAAGTATATAAAGAGAAAGAGAGAGGAAGAGAAGTATATAAAGAGAAAGAGAGAGGAAGAGAAGTATATAAAGAGAAAGAGAGAGGAAGAGAAGTATATAAAGAGAAAGAGAGAGGAAGAGAAGTATATAAAGAGAAAGAGAGAGGAAGAGAAGTATATAAAGAGAAAGAGAGAGGAAGAGAAGTATATAAAGAGAAAGAGAGAGGAAGAGAAGTATATAAAGAGAAAGAGAGAGGAAGAGAAGTATATAAAGAGAAAGAGAGAGGAAGAGAAGTATATAAAGAGAAAGAGAGAGGAAGAGAAGTATATAAAGAGAAAGAGAGAGGAAGAGAAGTATATAAAGAGAAAGAGAGAGGAAGAGAAGTATATAAAGAGAAAGAGAGAGGAAGAGAAGTATATAAAGAGAAAGAGAGAGGAAGAGAAGTATATAAAGAGAAAGAGAGAGGAAGAGAAGTATATAAAGAGAAAGAGAGAGGAAGAGAAGTATATAAAGAGAAAGAGAGAGGAAGAGAAGTATATAAAGAGAAAGAGAGAGGAAGAGAAGTATATAAAGAGAAAGAGAGAGGAAGAGAAGTATATAAAGAGAAAGAGAGAGGAAGAGAAGTATATAAAGAGAAAGAGAGAGGAAGAGAAGTATATAAAGAGAAAGAGAGAGGAAGAGAAGTATATAAAGAGAAAGAGAGAGGAAGAGAAGTATATAAAGAGAAAGAGAGAGGAAGAGAAGTATATAAAGAGAAAGAGAGAGGAAGAGAAGTATATAAAGAGAAAGAGAGAGGAAGAGAAGTATATAAAGAGAAAGAGAGAGGAAGAGAAGTATATAAAGAGAAAGAGAGAGGAAGAGAAGTATATAAAGAGAAAGAGAGAGGAAGAGAAGTATATAAAGAGAAAGAGAGAGGAAGAGAAGTATATAAAGAGAAAGAGAGAGGAAGAGAAGTATATAAAGAGAAAGAGAGAGGAAGAGAAGTATATAAAGAGAAAGAGAGAGGAAGAGAAGTATATAAAGAGAAAGAGAGAGGAAGAGAAGTATATAAAGAGAAAGAGAGAGGAAGAGAAGTATATAAAGAGAAAGAGAGAGGAAGAGAAGTATATAAAGAGAAAGAGAGAGGAAGAGAAGTATATAAAGAGAAAGAGAGAGGAAGAGAAGTATATAAAGAGAAAGAGAGAGGAAGAGAAGTATATAAAGAGAAAGAGAGAGGAAGAGAAGTATATAAAGAGAAAGAGAGAGGAAGAGAAGTATATAAAGAGAAAGAGAGAGGAAGAGAAGTATATAAAGAGAAAGAGAGAGGAAGAGAAGTATATAAAGAGAAAGAGAGAGGAAGAGAAGTATATAAAGAGAAAGAGAGAGGAAGAGAAGTATATAAAGAGAAAGAGAGAGGAAGAGAAGTATATAAAGAGAAAGAGAGAGGAAGAGAAGTATATAAAGAAAGAGAGAGAGGAAGAGAAGTATATAAAGAGAAAGAGAGAGAGGAAGAGAAGTATAGAAAGAGAAAGATAGAGGAAGAGAAGTATAGAAAGAGAAAGAGAGAAAGGAAGAGAAGTATATAAAGAGAAAGAGAGAGGAAGAGAAGTATATAAAGAGAAAGAGAGAGGAAGAGAAGTATATAAAGAGAAAGAGAGAGGAAGAGAAGTATATAAAGAGAAAGAGAGAGGAAGAGAAGTATATAAACAGAAAGAGAGAAAGGAAGAGAAGTATATAAACAGAGAGAGAGAGAGAGGAAGAGAAGATATATAAACAGAACAAGAGCGAGGAAGAGAAGTATAGAAAGAGAAAGAGAGAGGAAGAGAAGATATAGAAACAGAAAGAGAGGAAGAGAAGATATAAGGAGGGAAGGAGAGAGAGAGAGGAAGAAAGGGAAGAGAAGGTAGAGTATAAAGAAGGGAATGGAAGAGTATTCAAGGTATATGAAAGGAATCAGGGAGCTAGAAAGAGGAAGATTAAGAAAGAAGTATAGAGATAGCTAAATAGAGAGGAAGGAAGGAAATTATATATTTGGGAAGCGAGGGGAGGAAAAGAGGAAGTAGAGAAATTGAGAAAGAAAGGGAAATATGAAGAATGAAAGGAAGGGGGGTGGACATAAAAACACAAAGAGAAAAGGAAGGAAGTGATAACACAGAGAATTTGGGGAATAGGAATAGAAAGAGATATATAAAGTGTGTGTGATGTGATGCATTGGTGAGCAATTTCGCTGATGTCTCTGCCAGGAAAGCGGCTCAGAAAATCGCCCCACACTTTGTGTGCCATCTCCGGCCCCCTCAGACACAAAAGGGAGAAGGGGGGTGATCGAGGTCCGCCAGCCGCCTGACACACACCTGCCCCTCAGCTAGGGCAGGACATCAGATTCCTGGGTTCTGATACGGTGTGATATGATTCATCTGGAATTGGGATTTTCGCTCAGGCATGACTCCTCGCGGGGGCCGTAATGCCAGCCCTTTGTTCCCTTAAGCCTCTGTCTCCTTCTCTGGTACATCTGTGGCATTAGTTATGCTCATTCAATTAAATCTTGGCTCTTTTTTATTTTATTTTAAAGCCCAATAATCCGAGCCTGTGTACGCCGGACACAGCTGTGAGTGAGGCCGGGAGGGAGCTGTCTATTATAGCCGCATCCTGGGGTAAAGGGGAGCTCCGGCCAAAAGCTAGATACTGCACACAGGTTGTATAGAGTGTTCACTTGCGGGACCCCATATGGGGTCGCGACCCACACTTTAAGAAGCACTGGTATAGAGGAATCAAGAAACACAGTGCAAAGTCATGACCCACCCCTGCCGTGCTCCTGTATGCAAACTCCATGCTGCTGCTCTGCCCAAGTACACTCTACAAAAGTACATCTCCAAACCAGTATTGCTTTTGGGAAAATAAAACAAGCAAGCTCCTTTATATAATATAATATACAGTGTGTTAAAGTGGACCTGTCAGTGACTTTGCCTGGGCTGAGATGATGTCTTCAGTCTGTTGCAGGCAGAAGGAAACATTTACTCAGTCTCCCCTCCCCCAGTGATCAGTCTGCTGCAGGCAGGAGGAAGCATTTTCCTCAGTCTCCCCTCCCCCAGTGATCAGTCTGCTGCAGGCAGGAGGAAGCATTTTCCTCAGTCTCCCCTCCCCCAGTTATCAGTCTGTTGCAGGCAGAAGGAAACATTTACTCAGTCTCCCCTCCCCCAGTGATCAGACTGCTGCAGGCAGGAGAAAGCATTTCCTCACTCTCCCCTGCCCCAGTGATCAGTCTGCTGCAGGCAGGAGGAAGCATTTTCCTCAGTCTCCCCTCCCCCAGTGATCACACTGCAACATTGTGACTTTGCAGCAAGTCACAAGGTGAGAGGCTGCAGCAGGGGCTGATCTGTGTCAGAGATTTGAAAGCACAGACAAGACCTACACAGGCAGCAGGTTTTACATGATTGCGTCATCTCTGATTCGGCTTCTTAGTCCAGGAAGTCAATGGTGACTCTGGATGATGCCTGAACAAAGATGGTGCAGGCCTTCTGGGGAGTAAATCAGATGAAGGCACTGTCAGGGGGAAGTTATGTGATAATACTATATACATATATATATATATAATAAATAGGGTTTCTCGCTCTCTCTGTACAGGATCTTCCTGTAACATCATCGGTTCAATCAACGAAACATTAAACCGGAGCTGGAAGTGTCACCCCCGAACGGGATTCTGTTACTGCAAGCCCGGTGTGGCCGGCCCATACTGTGACCACTGCTTGGTGGGATACTGGGGGTTCGGGGAAAATGGCTGCCGGCCATGTGACTGCGCCAGAGATTGCGACCCCAATACTGGCGAATGCCAGAACAGGTAAAACTCCTCACCTGAGTGTCACTGAACACATGACTCCGAGTGGGAGCAAGTTTATAACACTTAACTCGTTGTCCCCACTGGGGACTTTCCCTTATTTCCTGTCCTGTGGAAGAAGATGTCTCTGACAGGCACCCAACTGAGATACTTTCACTGTTCCGGTATAGCGAGGGGAAGACTAAAACCTTTCTGTACTTTTTTTTTTAATTGCTGTTTCTGTCTCCATTGTAAGTTCTCCTTCACTTCCTGTCCAGCAGATAGTGTTGTCACCGGGACTTAAAGTAAGGGAAGTATCCTTGAAGCTAAACTCCATCCTCCCCTTCAGTCTTTTATCTGCCCTCCGTCCTTCCCTTCAGTCTTCTATCCGACCTCCCTCCTTCCCCAGTCTTCTATCCGACCTCCGTCCTTCCTCAGTCTTCTATCCGACCTCCGTCCTCCCTCAGTCTTCTATCTGCCCTCCGTCCTTCCTCAGTCTTCTATCCGACCTCCGTCCTTCCTCAGTCTTCTATCCGACCTCCGTCCTCCCTCAGTCTTCTATCTGACCTCCGTCCTTCCTCAGTCTTCTATCCGACCTCCATCCTTCCTCAGTCTTCTATCTGACCTCCGTCCTTCCCTTCAGTCTTCTATCTGAACTCCGTCCTTCCCTTCAGTCTAACATATGACCTCCATCCTTCTCACAATGTACATTAGAGGCTGCAGCAAGTCACATAGAGGCCGCCTCAGCAGCCACAAAGGATATAAGTAGCATTATTTGAATGAACATTTTTGCGCCAGTTTCAGTGTAAGATTTCGTGGTTCTGTACCGGACATCTTTTTTTCCTCTTTTGCAGCAGCGACAATGAACATTATCTGAACATTCCTATTGGTGGGAGGATCCCTGACATCATAGACACTCCAGCCAATGAGAGCGAGGACGAGTGGAAGTGGAACAGCGAAAAGGGGTTTTCAGCATTAAGACATCCAGGTAACGTCCTGAGGGGCCCGCCGGGACCTAAAGCCGTATTACACTCTCCATAATGAATCAGGATCAGACAAATAGACATCATCTGGTGACAACCCAAAATTTGGGATTTCCTTTCACTTTCAGCGATAACGGTCACCAAAGAGGGTGAATCTCCCTAACGGGGACACAGGCAGCAATAAAAGAACCTGATGGGGGGGATCTAACCCCTCCCCACCCCCATCCAAAACTAAAACAAAGTTTGGGCTTCAGTTGCACTTTAAATATAATGTTAAAAAAAAAAAAGAAGAATTTACACTTATTATGTTACAAACGTCATCGAGAAAAGATCTCTGTGTCCGGATATTCGCACATTGATCTCAAAGAGAACCTGTCACTCTATGACTGTAATGATAGCTGTAGAATCTTCATTTGGTGACAGGGTCTCTTTAATATGTGTTCCCGTATCTCTTATTTCCCCGCAGAGAAGTGTGTGTGTAAGGAGCGGATGTTGGGCAGCATCACCGATTTCTGTCAGATGAAATACGCCTACGGTGAGTACCGGTTTTCTTACCTTACTGCGGGTCTAAGGCCTCCATCACACGAGTAACGGCCGGCCCGTACAGATCCGTGCTGCGTGCAGGTGCTGCGTGTGATTAGTACGCAGATCCCGTCCTTCTCTATGGGAGTACACGGCCACACGCCGCCCTACGCTCACCCCAAGTGCAGGTCCATACGGTGTCCCTGCTCAGACACAAGGGAAAATTGTATACTTACCTATCGGTAATTTTCCTTTCCTGACGCCAATACATGGCAGCATACAATGGGCTGGGGGCGGAGCCATACCTATTGTATGCTGCCACGGATTGGCGTCAGGAAAACGGAAAATTGTATACTAACCTACCGGTAATTTTTCTTTCCTGACGCCAATACATGGCAGCATACAATAGGTATGGCTCCGCCCCCAGCCCATTGTATGCTGTCATGGATTGGCGTCAGGAAAGGATCCATCCTGTCAGCATACGAGTGGGGACACCCGCACCAGTACGGATGTGCAGTTCGGGTGAACGTACAGCCGCGTACTCCCATAGAGACGGACAGGGGCTGCGTACTAATCACACGCAGCACCTGTCCTTCCCGGGAGCGGCCCGATACGGCCGTGCACGCAGCACGGATCTGTACGGGCCGGCATGAGGGCTAAGGGTCACCATACACGATATAATCTGACCTTCCAATCTCTGTACAATGAACCAAAACTAGAACACACCTTATCCCTCCAAACAATTGGTATCAATTTGTATCCAATCAGGCAGACCCTTGCGCTACATAGCTGTTGGTAGATCTAAAGCAGGGGTAGCCAAACTCTGGCCCTCCAGCTGTGGTTCGGACGACCGCATTGCAGCCGCAGGTCGTGGCTACTACGGTGCCATTCACTTCAATGGCCCGCCACGCCCCCTACAGCCCGGCAAAAAAGTGAGCCGGCCGCAATGCGGGCAGTGCGTTCCGGTCCGATTCTGACGCACTGCCTTATGGTGTGAACAAAACCTAAACGAGATTGTACTATCAGATTATAACATGTTTGGGGGAACTTCGGGGAGGTTACATAGTTAGTCAGGTTGAAAAAGACACATGTCCATCTTTGTCAACAACCAATCAGATTCCAGGAAACACATTTCATTTTTTTTATTAATGATATTATTATTTATTGCAAGTCCAAGAGGAAGTAGAGTCTTTGCGATGACTGCGCCTGTTCCTAATATATCACCTGTGAGCGGACCGGCCCTTGAAGATGGGGACAGCCGTGTCACTCATTGAGGTTTCTTTCCACCAATCAGTGCAAAGGGCAATGCCCAAGGTGACCAATCAGAAACCATCCTGTAACTGCTCAACAGCAGTGAATTTTGATTTTGGTTGGTAGAGGTCGCTGCATTTCACGTTCATGTGCTTCCTGGGTCTCCGAGTCGTCACGCTTCGGTTATACTTCAGGCATGCGAACTAGCACTTAAAGGAGAAGTATGACGTGGGTGCTTCTCACTCACCTCATAGTTCTAGCCGACGTGTGACAATGAGACTGTCACAGGTCGGCTCAGTAGATCGGGAGGTGAGCGAACACATACCGGCGTTCGCTCACCTCTTGATCCTGTCACGGCTCTCTGCCGTGACAGGGGAGGGGCTGGATTCCCCCCTCCGATCCGCCAGCGCTGACTGGTGGAACGGACGGGGGAGGGGGCGGGTACAGCTGGCCATGCCTCTAGATAGGCAGAGCCAGCTGTCACTCACACAGCTGGGTGGATCTCGACATCGATGTCGGGATCTGCTCCGGCTGCGGCGTCTCAGTATACCCCGAGCTTTAGCTCGCGGTATACTGAGCTTAGGGTAACGGGAGGACGCTAGTTTGTGTCCTCCCGTTACCCTAAGGAGAACTATGGGGAAAAGCCTTAACCCCATAGTTCTCCTTTAAAGCATGCCAAAATGGCACACGACTAAGACAAGGAGGATACTGACGGAGAGGCCAGGTTAGCATGCCTGGAGCGCACTTAAAGGTGCCTTAAATGCTCCTGCAGCTTGACGATTCAGGGCTTGACTGGTTTACTCTTGCATGATCTAACCTTTTAACACACAGAAACCCCCCCCCCCATCCAAAAAAAAGCCCTTCTTGCTTGTGAGCATCCTTGCTAATGACCCGCAAATCTGAAATTGACGTACTGCAGACAAAGACGTTGGCAGCGGGGGTTGAAATCTCATGCCGCATGCAATTAAAATCTCAAGAGTAGCGGAGCCTTTCCTTTTTTTTTTATGGTACACATTTGTAACAGACAGAAAGCCTCGGCCTTGGGATGGCGTACATGGTGCCCGTGCTGTAACCGGAGCTCAGGATCATTATAATAGGGGGCGGTGAGCCAGTTATAGGAGCAGAGGGACGAGGATCCTGGGGGGGGGGGGCCCGGCTGCTAACTGCTTTCCATTGATGTGATTGCATTTCTAATTGGCTTGTAGGGCAGCCCTATATATGGTCTATGCTCAACAAAGCTGGACTTACATTGGCCGTGGACTGTCCAATATCTCCCTGTCCAGGATCTGTGGGGTGCATTGAACTAAGGGGTCTAGGGGAAGAGGGGGGGCTGAAGGGACCCAAGAAACATTAGGTGGCTTGAGGGGAGCGCAGCACGGTGGCCACCCAGCAATGAAGGCAGCATCTCCTTTTTCCCGTCTCTGGTCATGTGATGTCATGTGAAGGGGAGACAGGAAGAAGGAGAATCTGCCCTCACTCCCCATTGGGCACCATGCTGAGAAAGGGCTATAGTACATACTGAGTACTGACTTGACCTATCCCCCAGCCTGTCCAATTACAGGCTGGGGGAGGGACAAGACCTGTTAGTGTTGCTTAACTGCTACAGAGGAAAAATCAGGTCTTCTGCACTTTCCGACCTGTCCTGGTTTTTTGCTGCACTTGGGTGAATTGGAAACTCTTTGCTTTATCTCTGACGGTTCCCTCTTTCACTCGTTGTGTTGTCCCATCAGTGATAAAAGCTCGGATCTTGTCCGCTCACGACAAAGGCACCCACGCCGAGGTGGTGGTGAAAGTCAGGAAGGTTTTGAAATCCGGCAAAGTCAAGATCGGACGCAACAACCGTAGCATCTACCCGGAGTCATGGACCAACCGCGGCTGCACCTGCCCCATCCTCAACCCAGGTACGTTCCTCCGGGGTGCTGGAGCCAATCAGCAGGGCCGCATTATGTTCTTGTATCTGTAAAAGGGTTATATCCCTTGACCCTCGCTATTTGTCCTGATGACCATGGAGGGCAGATCCAGCATTTTACAGTTTGTCACCGGTGTTCTGTCGAGGTGGCCAACTCGTTGAGATCTCCAACTCGTGACGTCACATCCGTTGTAGATTTCGACGAGACGGCGCTAGTGCGCGTCACAGTTTTTGCAATGCTCGTTGACTTCTCCACTCGCCGTAGGTGCGCCTGTACGCGGATTCGAAATGGTCATCGAGTTCTCCAACTCCCCGTCAGTGCTTGTGGAATCGGGTGCCCGTGCAGATTGTAGAGCTTGATATTTCTCTTGCGTGGCTGCGCATGGGCACTGACGGGAGTTGGAGGTCTCGACAAGTTGGAGAATTCGATAGAACCCCCGCAACAGGAATGGATGTGAAAGCTTCCAATGGGGGCACCTACTCTGGTGGGGGATTTCTCCTTACTTTGTTCCTTTCACATCCCGTTGGGACTCCAGGACAGGAAGTGAGGGAAAATCTCCCCAATGGTGACACAAACACTATCCAAAATGATACACTAGGAAGATGATCTATAAAACTTCCGCCCAGCCATATGCTTGGCTAATGCTGTTCTGAAAGCATTCCTGCCACTAGATGGACCATAGAAGTTCCTATGCTCCTTGGCTCCATGTAGCGGCTGGAATGCCATGCAAACGGCACTTGCCCAGCATAGGGCTGGGGGGAGGTTTTACAAAAGCGACCCCCTATTCAATTTTACCAGGCGAATTTGGGGAGATTGAATTACCCCCTCTCCCCCCTTCCTGGTATACCTACTTTTGGCATTCAGAGGTGTATGCATGTAAGCTCCTTTTATTGACTAGAATATTCATTATTATTCTGGCCGCTGTAGTGAATTGTCGTGCATACACATGCGCTTTCTTGCATTCACATGTAAATTTATGCAGTAAGCATAAAAAACCCACAAAAACCTAAAAAGAGCCTCTACAAGCCAAGACCGTCCAAAGCGGCCCTCACCCCTGGGCGCGGGGTCATGCCACGCAGCACGCCGCAAGCCTCATCCGGGACTCAAAGGGTCAGGAGTGGGAACCTTGCAGTGAATGTCAGTTTATTATTCTCTCCCAGAAGCCGCCGGCAGACACAGTGCCCTCTCTGTTCCCACACGTCTGGGCCGCTCGGGGGGACCAGATCACTTGCTTCTGTCTCTTGTCCAAAAGTTTCATTCTACAAGTGCAGCTGAATGAATCGGGCTGTTCATGAGACGTAAGCTGGCAGCCCGGCCCGTTCCCCTCCCCGGGATCAAAGGCAACTAAAGCTTGTCATTGTATTAGGAGTACCTCTGACCGCACTATGGAAGGCAGCATTTGATTGGCTCTACCAAGGTGGGGGTGGGGCACATCATTGTGATCCTGACCTGCCTGAACATTTCCCGCAAAGATAAGTTGAGATCTGAGCCGCATAGGGCTCCCCTACTAAAGAGCAGATCCGGGAGTGATTGGATATTGCCATAGATTATCATTTCCTTGTCTATGATGGACTTGAATCTGAACTCCATCCTCCCCTTCAGTCTTCTATCTGACCTCCGTCCTCCCCTCCAGTCTTCTATCTGACCTCTGTCCTTCCCTCCAGTCTTCTATCTGACCTCCGTCCTTCCCTTCAGTCTTCTATCTGAGCTCCGTCCTTCATTTCTGTCTTCTATCTGACCTCCGACCTTCCCTTCAGTCTTCTATCTGATCTTACTTTGTTCCTTTCACATCCCGTTGGGACTCCAGGACAGGAAGTGAGGGAAAATCTCCCCAATGGTGACACAAACACTATCCAAAATGATACACTAGGAAGATGATCTATAAAACTTCCGCCCAGCCATATGCTTGGCTAATGCTGTTCTGAAAGCATTCCTGCCACTAGATGGACCATAGAAGTTCCTATGCTCCTTGGCTCCATGTAGCGGCTGGAATGCCATGCAAACGGCACTTGCCCAGCATAGGGCTGGGGGGAGGTTTTACAAAAGCGACCCCCTATTCAATTTTACCAGGCGAATTTGGGGAGATTGAATTACCCCCTCTCCCCCCTTCCTGGTATACCTACTTTTGGCATTCAGAGGTGTATGCATGTAAGCTCCTTTTATTGACTAGAATATTCATTATTATTCTGGCCGCTGTAGTGAATTGTCGTGCATACACATGCGCTTTCTTGCATTCACATGTAAATTTATGCAGTAAGCATAAAAAACCCACAAAAACCTAAAAAGAGCCTCTACAAGCCAAGACCGTCCAAAGCGGCCCTCACCCCTGGGCGCGGGGTCATGCCACGCAGCACGCCGCAAGCCTCATCCGGGACTCAAAGGGTCAGGAGTGGGAACCTTGCAGTGAATGTCAGTTTATTATTCTCTCCCAGAAGCCGCCGGCAGACACAGTGCCCTCTCTGTTCCCACACGTCTGGGCCGCTCGGGGGGACCAGATCACTTGCTTCTGTCTCTTGTCCAAAAGTTTCATTCTACAAGTGCAGCTGAATGAATCGGGCTGTTCATGAGACGTAAGCTGGCAGCCCGGCCCGTTCCCCTCCCCGGGATCAAAGGCAACTAAAGCTTGTCATTGTATTAGGAGTACCTCTGACCGCACTATGGAAGGCAGCATTTGATTGGCTCTACCAAGGTGGGGGTGGGGCACATCATTGTGATCCTGACCTGCCTGAACATTTCCCGCAAAGATAAGTTGAGATCTGAGCCGCATAGGGCTCCCCTACTAAAGAGCAGATCCGGGAGTGATTGGATATTGCCATAGATTATCATTTCCTTGTCTATGATGGACTTGAATCTGAACTCCATCCTCCCCTTCAGTCTTCTATCTGACCTCCGTCCTCCCCTCCAGTCTTCTATCTGACCTCTGTCCTTCCCTCCAGTCTTCTATCTGACCTCCGTCCTTCCCTTCAGTCTTCTATCTGAGCTCCGTCCTTCATTTCTGTCTTCTATCTGACCTCCGACCTTCCCTTCAGTCTTCTATCTGACCTCCGACCTTCCCTTCAGTCTTCTATCTGACCTCCGTCCTGGTGGGACGGAGGTCAGATAGAAGACTGAAGGGAGGTCAGATAGAAGACTGGTGGGAGGGAAATTCCTAAAGTCCCGGGTAGACAGGAACAGAGCCGAGAATAATGTCATGGCGATCCCACCTAAATAAAAGATGATCCCTATTCTGTCCCCACCCTGAAGGAGCTCACAAAGGACACTACAACAGGTGTTACAGTGTATTCTTTCAGAGAAGAAAGTAAATGCTCCTTTCCCCCCCTTCCAAATCAGTATAAAAGGATACATAGTGCCTCTTCACAAGTCCCAAAGATTACACAGCTTCCTGAACATGTTCAACCAACATCTGCGGCGCAGGAACCTCCAAGCATCAAGCCTTGGTTTCATCTCCAGCAGTAAGGCCTCACATCCTCCTCTCAGAGGGTCCACCCAGGGGCGTATTTACCGTGAGGCAAAGTAGGCGTTTGCCTAGGGCGGCACCTTCCTGGGGGGCGGCCGTAGTCAAACGCCTATGTTGTGAAGAGGAGGGGCGAGCCGGAGCCCGTCTGTGTGTAGGAGTGGAGGGCGGCTTGCCTGCTTGTGAAGAGGGTGGGAGGACGGATGGAGCCGGACAGCGCAGCCGACGGATGGGATCGTGACTCAGAAAACGAAAAGCAGCCAGCGGCCACTTACTCGATCTCACTGCTTCCTGGGTCACAGAGCCGCTGTGACCCAGGAAGCAGTGAGATCGATTAAGTGGCCGCCGGCTGCTTTTCGTTCTCCAGTCACAATCCCATCCGTCGGCTGCGCTGTCCGGCTCCATCCGTCCTCTTCACAAGCAGGCAAGCCGCCCTCCACAAGCAGGCAAGCCGCCCTCGGCTGCGCTGTCCGGCTCCCGTCCGTACAAGTAATCATCTAGCGGGCTTGTAATCGGTGCCTGCGACTAGAGTTAAACCCCCTGGGGGTGGGGTGCTAGTAAGGTGCCGAGGGCGGCCAAACCTTGGCTTGCCTAGGGCAGCCAAATACATAAATACGCCACTGGGTCCACCGTCATCTCTAGTAAAGCAAAAGGAACTTCTTCTGGTGCAATAGTGGTAACAACTTTATTATGCAAAACGTTCTACTCCCAATGTACAGGGTGCACCAGGCTTTGCAGCGACTGTATCACATTTCATGGTAACTCGCTAGTGGCCGACACTCTTTAGTGGTATGCAATGGGTTCATGATCTCTGCCACTTGGTACAACCAACCTGTCCAACTCAATGGGTTCGTGATCTCTGCCACTTGGTACAACCAACTTGTCCAACTCAGTGGGTTCATGATCTCTGCCACTTGGTACACCAACCAGTCCGAATCAGTGGGTTCATGATCTCTGCCACTTGGTACAACCAACCAGTCCGAATCGGTGGGTTCATGATCTCTGCCACTTGGTACAAACAACCTGTCCAACTCCTTCAATCCCCAACACATTTTGAAGGAAGTCCTTCATCTTGGGTGGATCCTCTGAAAGAAGTATGAATAAACACTGCAAAAGGTGAAACTGAGGCTTGGTGCACAGAGGTTCCCATGCAGAGCAGTAGGGTCGTCTTGAAGGAGATGGGACTGGAAATGTTGGTTGAGCTTTGTGATAACCTGTGAGAGAAACTGGGTAACCTTCGGGTCTTCTGTTCTTTTCTCTGGAAGGGGTTGTTCACTGTTGGTGCACCCAAGACTTTTAAGAAGCGTGAGGCTCAGCCCACCAGGCTCATTTTAGGATGGACTGGCCCTCTAAGAAATGGCTACATTATTATGTGACCACATTCCTCCATTGCTAAGTAACAATTTGTCTTATTTCTAGGCACGGACTACCTGATTGCCGGACCAGAAGACAGCCGGACCAACAAACTGATCGTCAACATGAACAGCCTGGTCAAGCCTTGGAAGGCAGTTTGGGCAAAGCAAGCCGTTGATTTTATCCGGTCAGGATGCAAATAGCAATTAACCCTTCCGAAGGGAAGGCGGGAACTATCTTCTCTTCTTGGCACTTTTCTCTAGAATGATGTCTTGTACAAGCCCAACTCCTCCGGCAGTAGCGTAGCCTTCGCTGCAAGAAGGAACCAACTGCGCAGCCTTCACCGGCAAGCTTTGTGTGGCTCGGATAGACGAGCTTCTCCATAGACGCCTATCTCACGCGGCTTAACATATCAAGTCCGCGTAGCACCAGATGATGCGCCCAACTGACTGCTTGTTAAGTTCCTGTAGCCGATGATGTCAGGCGCTTTCCGGAAAGTGCTGGAGGATGTTTTCTTTATGTTATCCTGGCATGTTTTGTACCTGGAATCTTCCAAAAAGAACATTTCACATGAAGGAGTTTACAGGTCCACCAATCAAGTCCGAGGACGTTCCTATAACCACAATGGAATGGAAAGGCCGGGGTTCACTTTACATGGCGACACATCGAATTTATGTTTTATCTTGCCTTTGGCTTCTTGCATTCAAACGCACCGCCAAAGTTAATGTCCAGCTTTCCCTGAACTGTTCTGTAAATAAAGGTTATGTGTAATGTAGTGACCTGCTGTGATCATATGACATAAAGAGTACCTGTCTCCTCCTGCAAACAGTGATGGCAGCCATGGCATGTCTGTAGACATAGGTGATGCCACAGAGGCGCCCCATGGCTGCTGCATCATTTATATGAAGAAAAGGGGGTGCTCTAGTTAGGTGACAGCAACATGAAACCAGACCTAGCATTAAATATATTTTTTATCTTAAGTGCAACACTTCCAGGTATGTATTACCTGTCACAGACATCACAGTACTTCCCCCTGACAAGGCCTTCATCTGCTTTTAACTATAGCAGGATAGAGCCATCTTTGTTCAGGCATCATCCAGGGTCACCCTCTACTTCCTGGACTGAAATGCCGGTGTTCTGTCGAAAGCTCCAACTCCTCGAGATCTCCAACTGGCTGACTTCTGGTTTAGTTAGAACAAAGGGGTTTGGTGTAGAAAGCTCCACTGCACGTGCGCCACCCGAGGCATTTACCTATACACATACTACACAGCAATAAAGTATTCAAATGAACTAGGATCACATTAATCCAGCACGTAATTAATCGGAGTTACCCCGCACAATATGGCCGCAAGCGACGGCCATATTGAGCGGGGCAACTCCGATTAATTACGTGCTGGATTAGTGTGATCCTAGTTCATTTAATATATTTTTCATTTAATATATTCTCCGGGTGAATGAACCTGGAAGCGAGTATCATTTAGGCTGATCTCTCTTTCGCTGAATGAACCTGGAAGCGAGGAACATTTCTGCTGATCTCTCCTCCGGTAAATGAACCTGGAAGCCACATGCATAGCTGCTGACCTCTACTCCGGTGAATAAACCTGGAAGCAAATATCATTTAGGCTGATCTCTCCTCTGGTGAATGAACCTGGAAGCGAGTATCATTTAGGCTGATCTCTCCTCTGGTGAATGAACCTGGAAGCGAGGAACATTTAGGCTGATCTCTCCTCTGGTGAATGAACCTAGAAGCGAGTATCATTTAGGCTGATCTCTCCTCTGGTGAATGAACCTGGAAGCGAGGAACATTTAGGCTGATCTCTCCTCTGGTGAATGAACCTGGAAGCGAGGAACATTTAGGCTGATCTCTCCTCTGGTGAATGAACCTGGAAGCGAGGAACATTTAGGCTGATCTCTCCTCTGGTGAATGAACCTGGAAGCGAGGAACATTTAGGCTGATCTCTCCTCTGGTGAATGAACCTGGAAGCGAGGAACATTTAGGCTGATCTCTCCTCTGGTGAATGAACCTGGAAGCGAGGAACATTTAGGCTGATCTCTCCTCTGGTGAATGAACCTAGAAGCGAGTATCATTTAGGCTGATCTCTCCTCTGGTGAATGAACCTGGAAGCGAGGAACATTTAGGCTGATCTCTCCTCTGGTGAATGAACCTGGAAGCGAGGAACATTTAGGCTGATCTCTCCTCTGGTGAATGAACCTGGAAGCGAGGAACATTTAGGCTGATCTCTCCTCTGGTGAATGAACCTGGAAGCGAGGAACATTTAGGCTGATCTCTCCTCTGGTGAATGAACCTGGAAGCGAGGAACATTTAGGCTGATCTCTCCTCTGGTGAATGAACCTGGAAGCGAGGAACATTTAGGCTGATCTCTCCTCTGGTGAATGAACCTGGAAGCGAGGAACATTTAGGCTGATCTCTCCTCTGGTGAATGAACCTGGAAGCGAGGAACATTTAGGCTGATCTCTCCTCTGGTGAATGAACCTGGAAGCGAGGAACATTTAGGCTGATCTCTCCTCTGGTGAATGAACCTGGAAGCGAGGAACATTTAGGCTGATCTCTCCTCTGGTGAATGAACCTAGAAGCGAGTATCATTTAGGCTGATCTCTCCTCTGGTGAATGAACCTAGAAGCGAGTATCATTTAGGCTGATCTCTCCTCTGGTGAATGAACCAGGAAGCGAGGAACATTTAGGCTGATCTCTCCTCTGGTGAATGAACCTGGAAGCGAGGAACATTTAGGCTGATCTCTTTTCTGGTGAATGAACCTGGAAGCGAGGAACATTTAGGCTGATCTCTCCTCTGGTGAATGAACCTGGAAGCGAGGAACATTTCTGGTGGATGAACCTGGAAGCAACAAGCATTTTGCATTTCTGAGCTGTCATTTTCCAGCCATGCACACCAGAATGAGAGGAATAACTCCAGGGCCATTATTCACAGTTATCCCTAAACAGATCACCTGTTAAAGCTTCTCCATATGGACAATTTTGGGTACCAAAGTTTCTTGGTTCAGAGGCACTGTTAAATGCTCATCTTGGTCTAGGGTCTAAAATATATACTCACCAGATCCCGCATGGCTGCTAGACCGGTCCCCATAGCCTCTCCCCCACTCCGGAATGTCCCTCGCCATCCTCAGGTCTAATACACTGATGACTCGCAGGCCATTAGACTGCCGGTGCGGAGGGGGAAGAGAGGCTGCAGGGACCGGTCTAGCAGCAAGACGGGATCGGGTGAGTATATCTATTTTACGCCCTAGGCCAAAACGAGCAGTTAACCCTTGCAGTGCGGTGGTAGCCCCACTGCAAGTGTTGATATGTCTTTGGCCCGGAGTTGATCTTTAAGCAATTTTCAGGAAGCTCCAACTCCTCGAGATCTCCAACTGCCTGACTTCCGGTTTAGTTAGAACTAAGGGGTTTGGCGGAGAAAGCTCCACTGCACGTGCGCCACCCGAGGCATTTCCCTATACACATACTGCACAGCAATAAAGTATACAAATGTGCATTTTAACATGCGCGCAAAACAAACGGCTCTGGCAGTGAAAGGGTTATTAGTAGGGCTACGGAAATTAACTATTAATTTCTCGATTAATCGTTAAACTTTTTGATCGATTAAAATTATTTTGATCGCTAATGAAAACACTCGCCTCTCCGCCGGCTTCCGGGGAGTCCCGTCGGAGATCCGGTGACGTCACCGAACTCCTCCCCCCTTCCCTTCGTTAGCCGTCACGGACAGCGACGTCACCGGACTCCTCCCCCCTACCCCAAGTGGCTCCGTCTGCTAACGAAGGGAAGGGGGGAGGAGTCCGGTGACGTCGATGTCCGTGATGGCTAACGAAAGGAAGAGGGGAGGAGTTTGGTGACGTTGTTGTCTGTGATGTCACCGGACTCCTCCCCCCTTCGTTAGCCGACGGAGACACTTGGGCAGGTGAGTTTGCCCAAGAAACTTTCTGCACGAGCGCCAGCCAAGGCATTGGCCTATGCACATACAGCACAGCAATGAAGTAATAAAATGAACTAGGATCACACTAACCCAGCACGTTATTATTCTGAGTTGCCCCGCTCAAGCGGCGGCCATATTGAGTGGGGCATGTGAGATTAATAACGTGCTGGATTAGTGTGATCCTAGTTCATTTTATCACTTCATTGCTGCGCCTTATGTGCATAGGCCAATGTAGTTGGATCTGTATGTGCGTTATAATTAATCGAAATTACTCGATTAAAAAAAATTTCGATTAAATCGAACATGAAAATTTTAATCAGTAACAGCCCTATAATTAGCCCTGACGAAGGGGAAGTTTTGTCCCGGAAACACGTTGGAGGCTTTTATGTGACCGTATTACAATGAATGACACTTTGGACGCTTGGTGCCCATTCGCACGTCTATACTTCCTGATCACACACTAGAATATGCGTATGAAAGAAGAAACAGATTGAGACATTCTGCAACAAGGTAAAAAGGTATTTAATTTCTTCAAGTAGCACACACATGTTCCACACATGATCGCGGGGCACAGTCTCGCCGATTCAGTGCATGTCTGGAGAAGAGAGAGAGAGGCAGCGGTGGACAAATCGGGTTTCAGGCACAGACAGGATTGGAGAGAGTGTATATGTTCTGATTCAGTCTACTGCTCGGCCTTGGCAAGGCAACCTCTGGATGGAGAGCGTGAGGAGTCATCGGGCCCTGAAACCTTTACAGGGCCCGCCAAACACTTGCAGTTCACTTTTTGGTAGATGCCGAAGAGGTGAATCAACCGCTGGAGAGCAATATTTCTGGACCCCCAGGAGGGGAGGGATCTGCGCTTGAGTTCCTGGGTGTGCACAACAGCCATGGCCAATGGGAAAATAGGTGGGGGGGCGTGGCTTACTCTCCCTGTTGGACTTTGTATTTATGATCATTATCATCATACAGGATTTATATAGCGCCAACAAGAGGAGTGAGACTGCAGTGGAAGGGAGACAGGGGACGTACACTCTACTGGAACGCTCCAACAAGATATAATGAGCTTCTGTAGGACTATTTAAAGGGAACCGCTAGGGTGGAAGCATGGCAGCTGCCGATGGGGCTTTAAGAACCTAATTGAACTTTCTGTTTAAATCCACTAAATACATTCCAGGTAAGCAGTGGTCTCTCTGCAGAGGTCCAACACACCCCCTGCTGACTCAAAGCCAGAGCTCTACTATCAGCAGCTGCCTCAGAAAAAAAATGGGGGGCAAAGTCCTACACGCGGTTTCCTTTAGAAAGCAGCCACAGCCTCAGTAAAAAGCCTTCCTCCTGCCATCGTGCCGAGAAGGACCGTTGCTCTCTGTGTGCAAGCAGTGGTCTCCCTGCAGAGGTCGGGGCACATCTCCTGCTGAGTCAGGCCAATAGCTCTGCAATCGGCAAAACTCAATTCTCACTGCTTATTGGAGAGCTCTGGCTGTGACCCCCCTGAGCAGGGGGGCGTGTCAGGCCTCTGCAAAGAGACCGCAGCTTCCACACAAAGAGCTAGAGCATGCAGCAGCACACTGGCAGAGACGGGTTTTACTCATCACGTTGTGGCTGCTTTTTAAAGAAAGCAAACCGAGACTCTGCACCCCGATTTGTAAGGCGGATGGTTGTAGAGCTTTTGCTCTGACTCACCAGGGAACATGGCGGAACCTCTGCAGAGAGGCCACTGCTTCTGCATAGAGAGAGTCCTTCTCTGCATCATGCTGGCAGGGACCAGGTTTTTCTCTGCAGGCTGTGGCTGCTTTCTATTAAAAAAAATAACTGTAGGACTTTGCACCCCATTTTTATTTTGAAGCAGCTGTTTATTGTAGAGTTCTGACGGGGACATGCCGGACCTCTTCAAGGAAACCACTGCTTCCATACAAAGAACAAGCATCCTCCAATGCAGCACGCTGGCAGGGTACAGGCTTTTCTATACAGGCTGCTTTCTATAGAATAGGAACTGTAAGACTTTGCATCCCATTTTTTTTTTGAGGCAGCTGTTTATTGTAGAGTTCCGACAGGGACATGCCGGACCTCTGCAGGGAAACCACTGCTTCCGTACAAAGAACAAGCGTCCCCCTCTGCAGCTTCTGGCCTTTTTATACAGGTTGTGGCTGCTTTCTATAGAAAGAGAACTGTAAGAATTTGCACCCCATTTTTTTTTTTTCAGGCAGTCTGTTTATTGTAGAGCTCTGGCTGGGACTCAGCAGGGGACTTGTCGGACCTCTGCAGAGACCACTGCTTCCATACAAAGAACAAGCGTCCTTATCTGCAGCTTTCGGATAGGGGACAGGCCTTTCTATTCAGGTTGTGGCTGCTTTCTAAAAAAAATACAAACGCTAAGACTCTGCACCCCGTTTTGTGATGCACCTGGAATGCATTAGCTCGGGAGCAATATTTTAGGGGAGCCATCCTCATCTTTGCATTAATCAGGTCCCTACTGCTGACCTGCCTGTTATTCGGGCCATTGACTGATCAAGTAGTAAAAAAAAAAGATAAGGACGTCAGCTCTGAGGCACACCCTCCCATTGAAGTACAGACCTGCACATTGACCAGAGACGAGTGCGCACATTGATGCCGCATCTGCTTCGCGGGTGTGTCTCCCACCACCATCTTGTTTCTAGGGGGGAAAGTGAGGATGTTAGCAGCTCACCTACAGCTTGTCGCTCCCGAATTACAAGCAAATGAAGAGAAAACACAAGTCCTCGGAGCCTCAGGAGGTCTAACTTGCATTTTAGAACATTAAATACAGCAGAAAGGTTCTTCCGGGTTATAGGCGGGTCAGAAAATGAAGGAAACCAGGTGATTGTTGTGTCTCGGATTCGGTGCCGACGGGTCATTCGGCCGTGTCACAGTTACGGTAGGAAATCATAAGGTAACAGAGTGGTAGCACAGCTCCCCTCCCCATGTTGTGGTCCTCAGAACAGTGGGAGGCAAAGGATGGAAATGGGAGGCTCCAGCCTCCTCTCCGCCATTAGCTGGACTCCTGGCCTTCCGCAGCCTCCGATGGTGCCGCCTCTGATGGTGCCGCCTCTGATGGTCCCGCCTCTGATGGTGCCGCCTCCAGCTCTGTACCCTGTTTGTCCTTGCTGCCGCCCTCCTCCTCCTCCTCGTCCTCCTGCGGGTAGAGGTCGGGGTATTTCTGCATGCACTCCTGCATGCCCCGGAACTGGTCTATGCAGTCTGAGCCCTTCACCTCCTCCTGGCTGTAGTGGAAGCAGGAGAAGGCCGATTTGAACTGCTCCCCGCACGGCCCGCTGGCCATCCCGCCCAGGCACGGGCAGTTCCAGTTGATTTCTCCATTAGGCAAAATCAAACCTGTAAAAAAAGAAGAGGAAAGTCGGAATTGTGTTTACACCTTTCAAGAGAACATGTCATCTACACACCACCAATCACCTGACCTAACAGGTCAACACTAAGGGCTCATTCACACGGGTGTGCACATCCACAGACCTGCTCCCAGGAGGACAGGTGCTGCATGCAATGGCATGCAGCCACCTGTACATCCCTATGGGAGGATGCGAATGCACAGTTACATGCCAACCCAAACCCACACATCTGTGCAGGTCTGCATGCCCGCACTTGGATGCAAACTTTGGGGCTCACTTACACAGGTGTGTACATCTTTACGGCATTCACACCCATGCAGAGACCTGCTCCCGGGAGGGACATGCGCGGCGTGTCATTGCGTGCAGCCGCTTGTACCTTCCTATGGGAGGGTGCGGCTACACGCCAACCTGAACCTGCAGCGTGTGTCCAAGTGCGGGCACCCGGACCTGCACGAGTGTGCAGGTTCGGGTCGGTGTGTAGCCGTATCCTCCCATAGGAAGGTACAAGCGGCTGCACGCAATTACACGCAGTGCATGTCCCTCAAGGGTAAAAAGGTCTCTGCATGGGCGTGCACACAGTGCAGATGCGCATGTGAGCCCTTAAAGTGTGCATCCAAGTACGGGCATGCCGACCTGCACAGGTTCGGGTTGGCATGTAACCGTGCATTCGCATCCTCCCATAGGGATGTGCAGGTGACTGCATGCCATTGCACGATTGAAGGATCATGCACATGTGTGTGCATGCCCATGCACAGACCTGCTCCCAGGAGGGATAGGTGCACGCCCATGTGAATGATCCTTAACCAACAGTCACCCACCTCTCTGAAGGACTCTACAGTGGCCATGGCACAGCACTGGTTCACATTTTTGACCCCCGGGGTCTGCAATGCAGCCTCAACCTCCGCGAGGTCACTGCGGGCCCCCGCCCCCCACATCCATCCCGCTGCTGGGGTAGGCGGATGACGCGGCGTAAACCCGTGCCCTCCGATGCCCCGGAGTAATTCCCAGCGACCCGCTGTTAAGGTTGCCGGTGACATAATGCCCGGCTCCCTCCACAAAGCTCTCTGGAATGCCGGGCCGTGTTTTCAATCTTTTTTTTCCCCGAGGT